TTTGCGGAGCGTATTTATACGAGACTCTACAGTTCTGTAAACCGAAATTATTTGAATTGCCTTTATTTTACAAAACGCAAATATTTGAATTCCCCAGATATTTTCATCGATATTTTGGACCTTCCGTTGAGTTTCACGGCTGCTGTACTACCGGGGCTGCGGAATGAAGTCATAGCAGCCCCGTGGCAGGTGACAGGTTTCAGCGGTTGGGTGAATTGATTGTGCGGTTAGCAATTTTGTTTTCTCAATTTAACGTTCATAAAGAAGGTTTATTTTCGAGTATTCTCCAGAAAATGACGAAACAGGATATGGTTCAGATGTACCAGCGCAACCTTGAGGAGCTCACTTCTCAAAACCCGCATGCGGAGGTCTGCAAAGCAACTTATATATTATGCCTTTGTATTTATCTCAACACTGTCAAACAGCCTTCTTATTTGTTGCTGCACTGTCTGTTGTGGTGGTGCTGCTTTCTGTCGCTTTTTTCTGGCACAAGGAAGCGCACCCTTGCTCTGTAGAACAGCACAGCACCAGTCGGCAAGGCTTTCGCCACCAAGCTTTGGGGTTTAGGGTTTAGGGCAACGCAGTAGCATCTAACCACACATGCGGCTGCAAGCTTCTCCAAAGCCAGGGGGAGCAGTGGACCACAGTGTCCTGTGATGTTGGCAGTGCAACTGGTGCTGTAGCTGGTGCTGCTGCTGCAGCTGCAGCAGCAGCACCTGCTGCAGCAGCAGCAGCTGCAGCTGATTCCTTCTTTGATCTTCGTTGGCTGCAGCATCACAAGCTGTTTGAGTGATCTGTTGCTCGGAGTTGACCGTGCGTGTTGTCTTCAGGATCCGCGGCTGCTGCAAGCCAACCAGGGGAGCCACTGCGCACTACGCTATACGATGTTTTCTCGGTAAGGAAGTGAATAGTTCACATTCTATTCCTTTAGTATTTGCCTCTCAAACTTCATCCTTAGGAGTGCGTCGGTGGCGTGCAGTGGCGGGTTTAGGGTTTAGGGTTTAGGATGTTGCACTAGGTAGTACTATAGAACCCCCAGACACGGTGTGCATGGATGGATGTAGTTAAGTCTATGTGTTCGTTATAAATAACTATTTTGTTTTAATTTGTTTTGCTTGCATAAGTCAATGGGGGCTTTCATTTGTCTAGTAAGTGTAGCAGGCTTCACCGAGCAGATACTCACCCTGCAGCAGGCAAGCAGTGGGGCAGTCTATGTGGGCATTAAATTTTATATTAAAAAGATAGCGTTATAGCCA